GGGGGGGGGGGGGGGGGTCCCCCCCACGGCGGGCCCCCCCCCCCCCCCCCCCCCCCCCCCCACAAAGCAACAAATACAAGAATTTAAAAGCCAGAGCCAAGACGTCGTTTTAATGTATCGTATATTAAAATATTCAGTCTGTTGCCAGGATGGAGCCCAGTTTGTCCAGTTTGTGTTGACAAAGGAAGCCGGACGAGTGAGGCGGGGGACCTGCTCGGTGTGAGAAGCAGGTGTTTGGGTCAGTTAACAAGTGATTCGAGAGACAGAATAAACAGAATCTGTTGTATAATTCACCAAATTTCCCTCTGGGATGAGTAAAGTATTTTTGAAATTGAATTGAATTGAATAAAGTATCTCAAAGTGATACTTGAGTAAAAATACAAGTATCTTATCATAAAAATACTTTGGTAAAAATTAAAGTATTCTCTAAAAATATTGAGTAAAAGTCTTAAAGTGTCTGATATTTTTGTACTTAAGTATCAAAAGTAAATTTCTGACACAAAATCTACTTAAATATTAAAAGTAAAAGTACTGAGTAAAAGTGAGCAGTTAATTTCCAAAATGACATTTATTAGGAGGTGACTTCTCAAAAAAAAATTTTTTCTAACGGTGTGCAACTGTGATGGGTTGTATACCTGTATAAGCTAATAGGGTGCAATGGTATATATTTATACTTCTCATCCAACCACAATTAAATTCACTCTATCCAGGAGACACAATTTACCAGGATAGTATTTTCTTTAAGTAATAACAACTCAGAATAAAATAGGAGTAACGACTTTCTACTTCTTACCTTTTAAAAAAATGTATTGAGTAGAAAGTACAGATAACTGTGTAAAAATGTAATGAGTTAAAGTAAAATATATGCTGAAAAATAATTACTCAAGTAAAGTACAGATACTCAAAAATTGTACTTAAGTACAGTAAGTACTTAAGTGCTTACCTGATCCTAAAACTAACCTTGGTCCTAAACCCAACCCCCAACCCTCCAATGGCATTTAAACCAAATGGGGACTCGACTTTTGTCCCCAAATGTACCAGTTGTCCCCAAAGGTTTGTTGTCTTAAAATTGCCCCCAAATGTCACCAAAGCCGACCCCCACGAAAACTAGCAGGCCGAGTTACTCTGAGGGAAAAATAAAAGCAACGTTTGTTTGCTCTCTGACTAAACTTTTCCTTTGATCATTGTTACACAATAAATGTCAGAATCTGTAATGTTAACGCAAGTTAAAATTAGCCTAATTTATCTTTCATGTCTTATTATTTAGATATTAAAATATATTATTTTTCCTAAATGTTTTTTAATCCATAAATGGGCATTTTAAATGAGACTTTTCCTGCAGTGGGAGCTGATCAGACAGGAAATCTGCCTCTCTCTCCCTTTCTGCTGTGATTTTGATGTGATGTGTCACTGGCTCTGACCCCGAGCTGGACCCTTCTGAGAGCTGCTTGGCATCGAACGGCTGACTGGAGGATTTGAACTCGGTGATCTAATTGAGTTCTCATGTCATAACATATCAAACACTGTCTGTTCTCCCGTAATGACCCAGCTTGGCCACGATGGGCACGTCACACACACACACACACACACACACACACACACACACACACACACACACACACACACAC